TGTGTGTCTCTGCGTGTCTGTGTCTCTCTGTTTGTCTGTGCGTGTCTGTGTCTCTCTCTGTGTGTCTGTGTCTCTCTTTGTACGTGTCTGTGTGTGTGTGCGTGTCTGTGTCTCTGTATGTCTGTCTCTCTGTACGTGTCTGTGTCTCTGTGCCTCTCTGTGTGTCTGTGTGTGTCTGTGTCTCCCTCTGTGCGTGTCTGTGTCTGTGTCTCTGTGTCTCTGTCTGAGGTCATACCCTTCCTGCTATAGAAGTTTTAAGTTTAATTTGAAACTTTGCCTAAATACTTCTTTGTCTGCATTACTGTGAGAAGCAGGGTCAGTGTGTCTGCCCTTCCTCCTTTTCCATTGTAACTATTACATGCAGTTAAAACATGACACTAAGTGTCCATCACTGGCCTCTCAGCACCCTCCCGGCTCACAGCTGCTCTCCCTCGTTCCAGTGGGTCCATGAGGCTACTCAGCGTCACCTTGCTTAGCACATTGGGAGGTGGTTCATTTTATTACGGTTAACCCTTGTCTGGTGCGAAAATATCACCCACCTCGGGTAGCTTTGAACATCTGCGACACGTTAAGGCCAAACTGGACCTGTAAGGTGCAGTGTGACTTAGGCATGTGTTTTGTTTTGGCTGTAATCCTCAGATGACCATTCTGAAGCATTTTTAATGAAAAGTTCAATGACTTTACAGGTCTGCCCTCCATTCAGCGTGACTTGAAATTAATTCGTAGGATTTTGCACAAGCTCGTAAATCAGGATTGAAAGAAGTCTCATCTGAGAAAATGTCTGTTTAATGCCTTTTGCAGAGGGCTGGAGGGAGAAATACTATTAAAATCTTGATGAGTGTGAGGCTTATGTTTTCAGAAATAACATTGACTAAATCCTCTGGAATTCCTCCAGAGGGTTAGAGGGGTTGTTCCCACCCAAACTCCTCTTTACATTTTGAGCCATTGGTCTCACTAAGATGCGCAGGAGCCAAACAGAGACGGAGCTTAACGCTGTTCTTCAAATAAACCAAAAGGAAATAAACGAACTGAGAAATGCTCTGGGGCAAAGCTGCCAAATTTATTGGTGCTGCAGCTTTTCTGCAGCTCTGCAGAATGAATGTTTGCCCCTAGTTATTGTCTGAAGTGTTTGCTTCTGCTGGTGTTGTCCTAGTTATGCACGTGGAGCTAAATTTCATGCATGGTTACCCTGTTTTTATGTGTGATTATGCATACTTCATGACCATAACCCTTTGAGGGTTGAATTTCTCGGTACTACTGATGAAGACGTGCTCCATGGTTCCCTAGCCCTACAGTCTCACTTCCCTCACCCGTGATTGGCTGCTGATTGATTGAAATGCTTCTATTGGGCAGTTCTGGTCACATGCTTCACTCTCATAATGCACCAGTGCAAAATGGCCCCTGGTTTTGTGGATTCCAATGGCGGTCTGTAGAATCCTGGATATGGGTTTGCATTTTCTGGCCAGTAAGACGTCTATCTGATTGTAACCCCCCCCCCCCCGCACCCACTAGGTGACGCATTTGTACATTTAGAGGAATTGAACTGTGAATGCAGTGATTTCACTGTGATCTTCTAACGACTGTGGCACCTCAGGGATGCAACAGTCCCATTCCGGGTCTCGTGTAATAGGTGCTTCTCACCAGTGTCACCATCTGAAGGCTTGGCAGTCTGCCTTTCAAACATCCGTGAACGACAAATTGGTGAGCACCTCTTCTGATCTTTTCACCTCCAAATGGTGGATTTTTCGGGAAATGACGATTGTAGGGTGAGAAGGTCGCTTGTGTATTATCTACTCCATTCAGCAGTTGTCACGGGAGTTTGCACGCGATCGCTCTGGCCTGCTCCTCCTCCACCTCGGCGCCCCCCTCTGCCACAGTCTTCCCTATGTCGTCCTGGATTTAAGGCTTCTGGAAAAGATAGTGGACCCCAGTCACAGCCACTAAGTCAGGGAGGGGGACTTTTAACAGCTTTCTGCATCAACAGATAACTCTCTCTTCTAGAAAGGCGTCTTGCCTGTGTGCAGATGGTTCCCAGTCGGGCTGCCGCTGATTCCGAGAGAGTGGGTTAATGCTTTTTAATGCACTGGCCAGAGATATGTGCTGATGGATAGGCAGTTTTTTTTTCAGCTGAGTGGACACTGAGTTAAAGTGGTTCTGACCACCAGGACAAGCAGTCTGTCTGCCATAGATCAGGGCTGTGAGTCGATCATGTGCTCGAATGGTCTAGTCTAGCTAAAGAGCCGCGTTTCTATGACCCTGGCGTGTGACCCATGATCTGCTGCTCTCTGGGTTGCAGGCAGGGAAGCTACCCTGGTGTGAATCACATGGGCATGATAGGCAGCGCTGCGCCTTACAGCCAGCCAGTCGGGAACAGCTCTGGGAGAATGACCCCACAGGCCCCGCCCTACAATGCCCCGCCCTCAGGTAAGGTAGCAGAGGGGATATTTGGTGCAGTTTGGTCATATCGCAAGGGGAGTTGCCATGACAATACAGTCGATTGTCCTTCAGAATGACATATTCCATACTCAAGGAACGATGACGCTAACCAAGAAACAGACGTGCTTTTTTGTTTAAATCTAAAATGTATTTTCACTAAGGTCGCCGTCTTCGTTTGAGAATGGAAATAACTTGTAGAGGCCTGGAAATAGTCCCTGCATGGAAATGTATGAAAAATCCCGGAACACACCAGGGCCCAAGAGACAAGTGGTATCCATGGAACCTCTGTTATATAGACTGACATTATGATTTGGGGAATAGGTCTGTTCTGGGAGTCCCTTGGTGTAAATTCTGCACTACATCAGCCTTGGAGGAAAGAGCAGATCGGCCCCTCCGGTGGCTGGGGGCGCTTTTGGGCCCCATCAGACCCATCAGGCTCAGCACCATCATCCCCTCGACCTGCCGTAGACCTGCAGAGGGACCCTGTAGAGACAGACATCCGCATGGAAAAGCCCCGATCTCAATAGGCCTGGACGAGCTAGTACAGATGATGGTGGCGGGGTAGCTCCATTCAAGACGCTTGAGGGGGTCCCCCCCCCCCCCCCCC